GGCTGCAATAGGGAGCTCGGGGTGCCTGTCCTGGTTATATTGTCTGATGTAAGTGTGACTGCAATAGGGAGCTCCGGGTGCCTGTCCTGGTCATAATATCTGATGTAAGTGTGGCTGCAATAGGGAGCTCGGGGTGCCTGTTCTGGTCAAAGTGTCTGATGTAAGTGTGACTGCAATAGGGAGCTCGGGGTGCCTGTCCTGGTTATATTGTCTGATGTATGTGTGACTGCAATAGGAGCTCCGGGTGCCTGTCCTGGTCATAATATCTGATGTAAGTGTCACTGCAATAAGGAGCTCGGGGTGCCTGTCCTGGTTATATTGTCTGATGTATGTGTGACTGCAATAGGGAGCTCCGGGTGCCTGTCCTTGTCATAATATGTGATGTAAGTGTGACTGCAATAGGGAGCTCGGGGTGCCTCTCCTGGTTATATTGTCTGATGTATGTGTGACTGCAATAGGGAGCTCCGGGTGCCTGTCCTGGTCATAATATCTGATGTTTGTGTGACTGTAATAGGGAGCTCGGGGTGCCTGTCCTGGTCATAGTGTCTGATGAAAGTGTGACTGCAATAGGGAGCTCGGGGTGCCTGTCCAGGTCATAGTGTCTGATGAAAGTGTGACTGCAATAGGGAGCTCGGGGTGCCTGTCCTGGTCATAGTGTCTGATGTAAGTGTGGCTGCAATAAGGAGCTCGGGGTGCCTGTTCTGGTCATAGTGTCTGATGAAAGTGTGGCTGCAATAGGGAGCTCGGGGTGCCTGTCCTTGTCATAATATCTGATGTAAGTGTGGCTGCAATAGGGAGCTCGGGGTGCCTGTCCTGGTCATAGTGTCTGATGAAAGTGTGGCTGCAATAGGGAGCTCCGGGTACCTGTCCTGGTCATAATATATGATGTAAGTGTGGCTGCAATAGGGAGCTCGGGGTGCCTGTCGTGGTCATAGTGTCTGATGTAAGTGTGGCTGCAATAAGGAGCTCGGGGTGCCTGTCGTGGTCATAGTGTCTGATGTAAGTGTGGCTGCAATAAGGAGCTCGGGGTGCCTGTCGTGGTCATAGTGTCTGATGTAAGTGTGGCTGCAATAAGGAGCTCGGGGTGCCTGTCCTGGTCATAGTGTCTGATGTAAGTGTGGCTGCAATAAGGAGCTCGGGGTGCCTGTCGTGGTCATAGTGTCTGATGTAAGTGTGGCTGCAATAAGGAGCTCGGGGTGCCTGTTCTGGTCATGGTGTCTGATGTAAGTGTGACTGCAATAGGGAGCTCGTGCTGCCTGTCCTGGTTATAATATGTGATGAAAGTGTGGCTGCAATAGGGAGCCCAGGGTGCCTGTCGTGGTCATGGTGTCTGATGTAAGTGTGGCTGCAATAAGGAGCTCGGGGTGCCTGTTCTGGTCATGGTGTCTGATGAAAGTGTGGCTACAATAAGGAGCTCGGGGTGCCTGTCCTGGTCATAGTGTCTGATGAAGGTATGGCTGCAATAAGGAGCTCGGGGTGCCTGTCCTGGTCATAGTGTCTGATGAAAGTGTGGCTGCAATAGGGAGCTCGGGGTGCCTGTCGTGGTCATAGTGTCTGATGAAAGTGTGGCTGCAATAGGGAGCTCGGGGTGCCTGTCCTGGTCATAGTGTCTGATGAAAGTGTGGCTACAATAGGGAGCTCGGGGTGCCTGTCCTGGTCATAGTGTCTGATGAAAGTGTGGCTGCAATAGGGAGCTCGGGGTGCCTGTCCTGGTGATAGTGTCTGATGAAAGTGTGGCTACAATAGGGAGCTCGGGGTGCCTGTCCTGGTCATAGTGTCTGATGAAAGTGTGGCTGCAATAGGGAGCTCGGGGTGCCTGTCCTGGTCATAGTGTCTGATGAAAGTGTGGCTACAATAGGGAGCTCGGGGTGCCTCTCCTGGTCATAGTGTCTGATAAAAGTGTGGCTGCAATAGGGACCTCGGGGTGCCTGTCCTGGTCATAGTGTCTGATGAAAGTGTGGCTGCAATAGGGAGCTCGGGGTGCCTGTCCTGGTCATAGTGTCTGATGAAAGTGTGGCTGCAATAGGGAGCTCGGGGTGCCTGTCCTGGTCATAGTGTCTGATGAAAGTGTGGCTGCAATAGGGAGCTCGGGGTGCCTGTCCTGGTCATAGTGTCTGATGAAAGTGTGGCTACAATAGGGAGCTCGGGGTGCCTGTCCTGGTCATAGTGTCTGATGAAAGTGTGGCTACAATAGGGAGCTCGGGGTGCCTGTCCTGGTCATAGTGTCTGATGAAAGTGTGGCTGCAATAGGGAGCTCGGGGTTCCTGTCCTGGTGATAGTGTCTGATGAAAGTGTGGCTACAATAGGGAGCTCGGGGTGCCTGTCCTGGTCATAGTGTCTGATGAAAGTGTGGCTGCAATAGGGAGCTCGGGGTTCCTCTCTTTGTCATACTGTCTGGTGTGTATGTGGGTACATGAGAGTAATGTGTTTTGTGTAACCAGACAGTAATTGCAACTAGCGTACAACTGTAAGAATTCGGTCCGACATCACCACATTCATGTGGCATGTGTAAATATATGAAACATCTAAACGGACGACAGAAATAAACTTCACCATAGTTTTAAATCACTGAAGTTTAAAAACCCTAAAAGATGCATTAAGTAAAATGTAAGCACGTTGAAGTTTTTGGCTGCAAGGAAGTTCTGTACAAGTCGGGCTGTATGGGTCTGGCGTTGTCATGCTGATGAAGGACGCTACGTGGCAAGTGTTGTAGAAATGGCAGGACAATCGGACGCTGAGATGTCATATTTCCGTTAACGATGAGCAATGTTTTTCTCTCCTGCCCCCTAATACCTCCCCCCGCCATAACACACACCTCCACCATGCAACATGTCGCCGTTGGTTCTCCCTTTAGGCGGTAAACACGCTGCCTTTCATGGGTCCATCTGAGTATCTGACGATGATGTTACACATTCAATAACTGCCTTCTGTAATGTCTGCGAGCCCTAATTCCTTCAGCCCTGAGTCGCCTGGCCACTGTCTGTTGACTAATCATAGGCCCGTAGGCCTTCGTCGCTGATGACGTCAATGTCAGGAAGCGATTCCGGGGACGTCAAGATAGTATCCAGTACCGGTCTCCTTTGGGAGTACTTACCCTGGGTCTGCCTGTCCTTCGCCTGTCTAATGTCGCCCTGGTCTGTCTGTAACTTTGCATCAGGTTTGCTACAGCAACATTTGACCAATCAAAACTTCTAGCAATATGGATGGCTAGCTTCTGTATCATACCCAGGCCCCGATCGCGTTTTTAGGGTGTCAGTCGTAGCATTTTTGTGGTCTCTCAGTGTGAGTGTCTCACATTCCGTCTGTATCCTTAAAAAAGACCTTCTTACACTTGTAGTTTCGGCCCTCCAAGCGGCCTGTCCTTTTTTTCACTTATTCTCATTTCCTAAAAATAAGGTGTCATAGACGAATATCACTTTCTGCATTTACGTGTTGGCGGTGTGTTTTGCATTGATTTAGTTTACACTTGTGTTTTCAATTTTTTACAATTTAATTTTTAAAGTGGTAAAGTTTCTTTTGGTCGTCAGTTTAGTATAGCTGTAATGTACATATTTAAGTGTGCCATCTATGGGTTAAATATTACTTGAAATAGTATATTTTACTTGAATTATGCAAGGGAGATGCAAACAGGATTTTGATCTTTTTATTGAGAATGCATACTCCCTTAAATTTCAATATTTTTTACATTGTATTATGTATTTTGTACAATTTTTCTGTGTTATCTTTAATAAAATACTTAGACATTATTGTTCAGATATGCATGTTCCCGCCATATTCATATGATGTGTTCTAAATGTCCTTGGCGGCCATGACAACGTGCAAACGGCACAACATGGGTTGCCAAGATGTTGTCCCGGTAGTACTGGCCTGTGACACGTCCGGCAACAACATGTAAGTCCGTTCTTCAAGCAGCAGTGATGCCTCCCCACACCGTTACAGATCCACCCTCAAATTGATCATGTCTAATGACGTTAACATCATGGAAACGTTCGTTTCGTCGACGACACACCCTCCTACGCCTGTCCAGGAAGTCAACAGTGAACATCGACTCCTCTGAAAACATTACATTGTTCCAACGTCGATTATCCCAGTGTTGACGATCCCGACACTAACGGTGTCTTGCCCTAATGTGATGATCTCTCAAACATGGAATGACGCGAGGACGTAGGGCGTGTAAATGACCTCTGTGCAGTCGATATCTGATCGTCTGGACACTCACTTCTCACACCAGTGTCTGCTTGTAGTCTAGTTCTTATCTGATTAGCCGTTATGACACGATTTCTCAAGGCTAAAGTACGGATAAATCGATCCTGTGCATGAGTTGTCGCCCTTGGTCGACCCGAGCGTTGTCTATCGTTAACAGAATGTGTAGCACCACATCCGGACCATAATCTGCTCATGACAGACTGTGAAACGTTCATCGACTGTGCCACAACGGTCTGTGTTGTGCCAACCTGTAGCATGCCAAGGGCACGTAATCTTTCGGCGCATGTCACCCGTTTGGTAACTGAGCTCCAAAACAATTAAACTGATGTTTCCACTATCAAATCTCCTTCCACAGTGGGTATAACCTTAAAATTCAAAGTCGTGCAAATCTGGTGTTCAACCCCAATGATCATCACTAGCATCACGTGCAGATCCTTGGGTTGCCATTGTTGTGTTTGGCGCCGAATTTCACTGGAAATGTTTCCTCTGTAAGGATCTATATTAATTGTCTCGTATTCATTTGCATTTGTTACAAGTATGATCGCAAAATGATAATCCCCTACTTTTTTAATAGTATATAACAATGTCTTATGGCGTGAAGGCTGTGAGGTTGCACCTAAAATATCAACTTTAATATTCTGGGCAGTCGTAAAAAGTGAAACAAGAACGTCCACATCCTCAAGTCAACCAGTTCACCAGATGGTTGCACTATAACATGTTTAGATACATATTGTATTTTGTATGTGTAGAAGTATGCTTCAAGTAAAATATTAAAAAAGTAATACATCACTTACACGACCTTGGATTCCTGAAAAAGAATAAAAGAGGAGGTAAGTAAACAGTGATATGTTTATCATTAACAAGCGACACGGTTAGGTCAGTCGTCGTAGTGTGACTCAGGCATGGCGAAAACCTATGATCGTATAATCCCATATCGCCCTGATTATGTGACTAGGTTTGTCAGCACCATAACCAAGTCCGTGGGTGTCGATAAAGTAGTGTCCCTCAGGCATGGCGAAAACCTAGGATCGTATAATAACATATCGCCCTGATTATGTGTCTAGGTTTGTCAGCAGCATAACCATGTCCGTGGGTGTCACTAAAGTAGTGTCCCTCAGGCATGGCGAAAACCTAGGATCGTATAATCCCAGATCGCTCTGATGATGTGTCTAGCTTTGTCAGCACCTGACCGTGGGTGTCACAAAGTAGTAAACGTCTGTGACCTGCATCACTTCCGGCTTTACACCCACATCAAGCCGACACGCCGTGATGTGACTGAACTACTATAAACTTACTCACCACCTCTTCAGTAACACTACCAACAATCATATAGAGAAGATACTACCGTGAGCTTTAAAGAACAGGTCTTCTTGAGATTTACCTTCTTATCAGCCACGTGAACCCTTTGTCAAACGTTCTTCTACATCGTGGACTGCAAAGAGATGTGCTTCATAAAACACAGGGCACCTGCTTGACATTTCTCTTAAACTCTAACCAATTTTGGATACCACACACAAATACATATTCACATTTTTCATAAAACCATGTCTTGTGCTGAATTAAAGTTGTCATCAGCGAACGACTGGATACAATTGCTATAACTGATAAGGATGGCATCATGGCAAAACATAGAGTAACATTAGTGTGTTCGTACAACTGAAACCTTGTAGATTCTAGTACAACATTTTACTCATGTAAAATATGTTAAAGTTATGCTGAACAAAATGAGTTGATCATAATCTAGATGCTGAAGTAGTGTGAGGTTAGAACCCGACCTACACAAAGTAAACTCACCTCTTCCAGCAACACATTGTCAAAAAGATAGAGACCGCAACAGATAACATCAACTGCATACTCTGTGCAATGTGACCCTCACCTGTAACAAACACGATATGAGTAATTAGTGTGTCTAATGAGCCACTCACCTACAACACACAACCACAATATGACTAATAAGTCTGTCTGTTGTGTCCCTCACCTGTAACAGACAAACACTATAAGTAGAATAAATATTAGGTATCTAACGTTAACTTTCAACGGCTAACATTCAACAGATTATGTTTTTGAAACATACGGTTTTTACTATATTGACATTTTAATCTTCTTTTGTCCAATTGAACAAGTATTATTTTATTCATTTTCTGGCCTCGAGAGCCTAACATTACTTGACGCTGCTCAAGCTGCAGTGACTCAGCAGGATGGTTCCGTGATTGGGTTCCACCTATTTACCTGTTTCTGCTTCACAGAACTCTCCTGTATATCTCCCTCTACAGCCATGGGTACAATGTCCACTTCCTTGATGACAGGTATCCGCAATGCAGTTCCGGCCACAAAGCTTCTCACATCGCTCGCCATGCCAACCACGCCGACATCCCCGAGTGCACGTTCCAGTGTCAGTCTGACAGTAGTTGGTGTTTCTGTCGGAACCCAGGGCACAGCCTCGAGGACAGGCTTGATCGCATGTTTCCCCAAATCTGCCCCAGTCACATGGTCTGTAGGTAGTGGTCACTGCAACACAGACAGAGCTTGTCAGAACACTATCAGACAAAACGTCTGTATATACATGTCATTACATATCCCTGCACACATCCTGCCCCAGTCACATGGTCTGTAGGTAGTGGTCACTGCAACACAGACACACCTAACAAGACACCATAAGACAAAACGTCCGTATATACATGTCATTACATGTCCCTGCTCACAACCTGCCCCAGTCACATTGTCTGTAGGTAGTGGTCACTGCAACACAGACACAGCTTGTCAGAACACTCTCAGACAAAACGTCTGTATATACATGTCATTACATATCCTTGCACACATCTCATTTAATGCAATCCTCAATCAGACAGCAAATATCATCACTTATTAGCAGTGAATAAAGAACTTCCGTATTAACTATAAACAGTGTTTTCCTAAAATAAAACACACAGTTCATATGTTTATTCTGTTGGCTTGCCTTAAGGAAAGTCAAAGGCAATAAAATAATTGAATCAACAACAGTTCACTGATTGGACTGGTCAAGGATGCCTAGTTTGACACAAGTGGGTAGAACTCTTGACCCTAGCAGTGATACCTCACCGGATGGGCATTGTGTAACTGTATTCTTTAAATGGCATTCTTATGTACTTGCTACAACTGCTGCTCAATAAACCGTGTTTGTGTATATATTCAGGTTGGTATTTCCGCTATTCAAAGTGTGCAATGAGGCCGTCTTACTGCTTATGGTCATTTTGGAGACATCAATGCGAAGTTTTATTAATGCGAACAAAGATCTCTCGCATTTCATGCATTTAATTCACGCTTGCGTTAATTTCAAGATTTACATAATGTCTATTCCTAATACAGGATATTTACCAACCCCAAACACACAAGCGTGATAACCATTTTATCATATAATGTCATACTACAGTTCTGCACTCGAAAATCTCTTTCCATCTCTCACAAACATTACCTAAACATTGCAAGTTTTCCCGGAATGTGCGCAATAATATATACAACGTCAGAGGGTAAGTGATGTGTCAGTCCGACAGTGACAGTAGCCAACACAGTTCCCACTGAAACCTCGTTCTGATGCAGTGGAGAACATATTGCGGCTAAATCTAACTGTTGTAATTTGACGAAAAAGTTCCAAGCCGCAGAGGAAACTCATCCCGCTTGGCTGGTGACCTTGCAAAATAGTTTTACAATTTATATCGACAAAGTTGACACAACATGTGAAATGCCTTAACTACGTCACAGTTAGACAATGATTTTCAGTATATTAGACTACATGTAATATATTATTTTGATGATGATAGCAATTATCCCTGTAGTTTCTCCAGATTCCCGATGGTTAATTCTAACTCGAGTTACAAGGGCGAGGCCATGTTTGTTTGTAAACACTGAAAGTAGTCCCCATTTGACCTTTGATATTTGCATATCTATCCACATATGACCCCAATGGAATTGCTTTGGCTTTATCCTGCCGACAAACCTGCCCATCATATGATTAATAAATGTATCTGTGTACCTGTTGTCTGTATCTGTGCACCTGTTGTTGTGTTACAGAAATATCCAATGTATCCATCTATACATCCGAGGGTACATCCCCCGTTGCCTTGGTTGCACGTGGTGCTGATGCAGTTCTGACAACAAAGTTGATCACAGTGGTCACCATGCTGACCACGAACACACCCTTGCAAACACTTTCCAGTAGCTTTGTCACAGGGTCGAAGGTTTCTGCCAAGGTAAAGTCCACAGTGATCTGAACATAGTCGGTCACAGTTGTGTCCATACTTGCCCCACTCGCACACCGGGACACCCTGTACTGCAGAAACTGAAAACAGAAGTGAAATGAGATACATGTCTACCTGATTTCCGACGTGCTTGAAGCTTGCATGACAAGGCTAGTGATCATAGATCGTGGTCATGGCGGCCCAAGTCATCTAAGGACTAAACACAAGTAACATGGGTACCCCAGATTCGCACTGATGATGTGTCCAGGTTTGTCAGCACCATATCCTGCTCGTGGCTTTCACCGAAGTAGCAAACGTCAAAGACCAGCTTCACGTAGAACTTTCCTCCCACATTCAGCTGACACGTCGTTCAAAGCGGTGCTAAACAAAAGTCACTCACATTTAAGATAATATGACTATGAGTATGAACCTTGGTTACTGATGGTTACCAAATTCCACTGTCGGAACATAGATCTAAGACAGGTCGACTTCAGTCTAGTTAAACATAACAGTGGTCACAGTTGAGCCTGCAATTGGTTCACTTGTAAATATGCATGTATCAGCTATATGATCTTGTTCTACCCAGCTGTTGTTCACTTGCTTGATCAAGATACCTGTATCGAGGCGTTGCATTGAAAGCAAAATGAAGCTGAAATCCATGTAAATTCTGTTTTCCTTGTTACTTCTAACTGCCACTGTATATATTATACAAGTGATTACGCTTGACCAGGTCAATACACAAAAACAAGGACCTTGGACAGGCCGAGATTCGGTCAAACCACGGAAGGGGTCGGGCCCGAGGTCCATGTTTCTGCATATTGACCTCGTCAAGAGGAATCACTTTTTATATAATCTATATTTAGTGAGCTGCACGGGTAGACATTTTTGTATCTGTACCATGTCGATATACAAAAGTCACTTACATACTATGACCAGCAACGATCCAAACATCACAGCATATAGCAAATCCCTTCTGTAAAATAAATAATATTAAACAATTATGACGACGTCACATAATTATTGTTGTGGTTGATTTTGAGCCAGGAATTCACTGGCCATTCTGAACAGTATGTTGTACAAGTGAGGCTGAAGGAACTATAGGTCATTGTGAAAACTTATTAAGAGATTGTAAATCAACCATGTCATGATTTCAATAAGAGAAACCACTCGAATCTGTTGATTCCAGATTCAACATATTTCCATGATTTCTCCATTACGTAATCGAGGCTCTAGATATGTGTGGGACAGACATAAGTTCATATAGGGTAGACAGCAGTAAGAGATTCCTATTGCCATTGCGTCAATCGACCTGCCTTGTGTATAGCTTGGTTATATATGCACCTTTGTCTGTAGGTCTCTTTTTTGTCATACAAGGAAACAATGTGTAAGTAAAAAGTGTAAGGTTGGGTGCTTGGACACTGTTTACAATATACATTATACTCCGACAACCCATTGAGTAGTACCTATTCCCCGGTTGTTGATCAGATAGTGGGGCCTACCCTCTCCACTCACCCAGTTTCTACATTGTCACACATCCAAGTGGTTTGTGTTTCGTATATTTTTAAACACATATTAAGATTATTTGACAAAGTGCACTTAATAAACATTTTAACACGCCTCAGATCGTGTTGGTTATATGATTGTCTGAGTTCATTTGTTCTCACTCAGGGCATCGTTACAGCCAGTTTCATTCCACTGATTGAAATAAAGGAGACCAGTGAAGCCGCCTCATTATAGATCCATGCATAGAGAAGACGTTTGAAGACGAATTTTCTTGTTAATTAATTTCCGTTTTCATTTATGTTTATATTCTATTTGTTTATATTCTATATGTTGATATTCTATCAACGCTATTTCGACTACTTAGGTTTTTGTATCTATGCAGCAAAAAAAATAATTAAATTAATTTTACAATCCATTTTGCACCATATATATGACATTTACTATTTCATAAACCTGTTTAAGTGCATAGTTAGACCACATGCCACATGTCACTATTGTCTCAGAAGTATTCAGAACTTTGAAAACTTTCACAGTAGAAGTTGGTAAAACTAGAAGGCTGCAATACCTATCACCGGAAAGTGCAAATTACTAAAATAAGTACGCCCCTTTGATCCCCGTGTTCAACAAAACTGCACAAACTACTGCCTTCACGGTACATGCTTCCTGACTTCATTTATGGACGCTCTCAAATCATATATACCCATTGTCTACCTACTCTGTGGAGTGCACTTGTAACAGCTGATAAGACATCGGGTCAACATGACCTCAGTGACATTCATATCACGGGTGGTTATGTTTATTTAAGTTGAAACCTACAGATCACACGTATGGCCCTGTCATAGCGGCGCAGAAGGTTATCGCTATGTGGTTCTTTTTGTGTATATTCCAACGCATGTTGAATAAAGTAGATCACAGCTGCTATAAAACACGCGAGTAAGAAGTTCGTGCATGTCGTACTTATTGTTGAACCAAATGAGTCCAACATCAATGTGATTATAAAATCACATTAAATATACTTTAATACTGACAGGCTACTCTAGTATTGGATTGCTATATAGAAGATAGCTACGGGATAAATCACAAAGCGAAAGTAAGAACGAAGCGTGAGTTATTCCACGATAAAACATTGTTCTTTGTGCCATTGTTCTAGACTGAAGTGTCGACGTGAGTTGTTAGCCGGAGATGTAGCTGGACAACGTAGACAAACGCACTGGTCGAACAATCGCATCCAAAAGTGGGAGATGTAAGACAATCGGCATTCGGAAAAAAGTACATATAATCGACGTGAGGATTTTGAGAATATGCGGGAATACCAAAATTAACCCACCTGTTCATTAAACGGACTTGTCGAATACTATTCAGGGAGTCATCATTATTAAAATTAAGGGAACTATTTTTAAACACACTTGATCAACATCCTCAATGAGGCTCTACGTAATGTTAATATAAGAAATATTTTTATCTTACAAACAAGACACTGCAGGGAGAATAAACTACTAGGGGCTGCGACCCTCATTGTTTATTTTCCCTGCAGTTTGTTATTGTACAATAAACAACACCCACTCGTCGTTTATATCTTAATGAACGTATGCGACGTCTGTGTTAGATCCTGTTATACTGACAGGCGACTCTGGTATTGTATTGCTACTGAACGTATGTGACTTTGCTGTGTTAGATGCTGTTGTACTGTCACGCGATTCTAGTATTGTATTGCTATTGAACGTACGGGTGTTCGTCTTTTGCATCCCCAATGAAAGCAATATAGTTCTTACCTGAAAATACACTTACGTTTTGACTCCCTTCACTTCACCAATATGTCCACCCCTCCTACGTTCTGAGCACTACACTGTAGCAAGGCACATCTCGACCCAGTAGATAACGCTGACGTAAACATTAGGTAACCAAGCAATCTGAACAGATCGAAGTCCCCGACCCATACACACAGCCTGACATGTGATCCAGCTAGAAGAGGGAAAAAACGCCGGATGATTTAAAGACTACTTGTTAAATGCACGCTTATACGCTATGCACAGGTGCGCCCCTTTACAGCAACCAGTTGATTTACCCCAGTGGTATAACTGAAATACTGTAGTGTAAGTATGTGCTGACTCACTCACTCACTCACCCAAACCCAATCACTCAAACAATATTCACTCTCACACCAAAAGCTTACTCAAAAAATTCTTTCACTCACCTGATCTATAATCGCTCAGTCACTAAAAACTATATTCACTCACTCATTCAAACTATATTCACTCACTCATCTAATCTATATTCACTTACTCATCTAAAGTATATTCACTTACTCATCTAAACTATATTCAGTCACTCATCTGAACTATATTCACTTACGCATCTAAACTATATTCAGTCACTCATCTGAACTAGATTCACTCACTCATCTAAACTATATTCACTCACTCATCTAAACTATATTCACTTACTCATCTAAACTTTATTCAGTCAATCATCTGAACTATATTCACTCACTCATCTAAACTATATTCACTTACTCATCTAAACTACATTCACTCACTCATCTAATCTATATTCACTTACTCATCTAAACTATATTCACTCACTCATCTAAACTATATTCACTCACTCATCTAAACTATATTCACTTACTCATCTAAACTATATTCACTTACTCATCTAAACTATATTCACTCACTCATCTAAACTATATTCACTTACTCATCTAAACTATATCCATTCACTCATCTGAACTATTTTCACTCACTCATCTAAACTATATTCACTCACTCATCTAAACTATGTTCACTCATTCATCAAAACTACATTTACTCACTCATCTGAATTACATTTACTCACTCATCTAAACTATATTCACTCACTCATCAAACTATATTCACTCACGCATCTAAACTATATTCACTCACTCATCTAAACTATATTAACTCATTCATCTGAACTATATTCACTCACTCATCTAAACTATATTCACTAACTCATCAACACTACATTTACTCATTTATCTAAACTATATTCACTCACTCATCAAAACTACATTTGCTCACTCATCTAAACTATATTCACTCACTCATCTAAACTATATTCACTTACTCATCACAACTACATTTACTCACTCATCTAAACTATATTCACTCACTCATCTAAACTATATTCACTCACTCATCTAAACTATATTCACTTACTCATCAAAACTACATTTCCTCATTTATCTGGGGTGGTCGGTTAGCCTAGTGGTTAAAGCGTTCGCTCGTCACGCCGAAGACCCGGGTTCGATTTCCGAAATGGGTACAATGTGTGAAGCCCATTTCTGGTGTCCCCCGCCGTGATATTGCTGGAATATTGCTAAAAGCGGCGTAAAACCATACTCACTCACTCACTACTCATTTATTTAAACTATATTCACTCACTCATCAAAACTATATTCACTCTCTCATCAAAACTACATTTGCTCACTCATCTAGACTATATTCACTCACCCATCTAAACTATATTCACTCACTCATCACAACTACATTTACTCACTCATCAAAACTATATTCACTCACTCATCTAAACTATATTCACTTACTCATCAAAACTACATTTACTCATTTATCTAAAC